TTTCTAAAAACAACTTTTTTTGAAAATGTCTGCTGGCACCCCTTGAATGTGTTCTATATTACAATATAACACTGGATTAAAAAAATGTTTCAATAAAACATATTTTAAGAGGTTGCTACGTGCCCTCTAATATTAAATCGGTCACTAATATTATCAAAAAAAAAGTTTTTAAAAAATGTCTTGGGTCTCAAATAAAGCAAAATAATGTAAGAATTTCAAAAATATGAATCATTTATTACTCTTCTGTAGATCTTTTTGGCAGAGGTGATCAATTAACTTTAATGTATGATAATGCTTCATGTCAATGCACAAGTCAAGTAAAGTAACTGACCACCTTCGTTAGATGGGTTAGTTGTATTGGGCTGGCCACCACAGATTCCTGATATAAATCCAATCTAAAAAACTAATTTCTACTATGCCAAATATTAATCATGCATTCATATATGTATGCATTTTGCTTCTTGTTTATGTGTATCATAAAATTAAGGATAATTTACAGCAATCTGATATGAACTTGTCTGTATTTTGTGCTATAAACACTAGATACTATGAAATTTACTAGGTGTTACCTCGCTTATTGGAGAGTACTGTTTTATTATCACAGTTTAAGGAAATACATTTGATACAGGCACACTATGTATCTAAGAGATAATAAAGTAAAAAAAGTTTTATTCTTTCTTAAACATTTTTTTGTAGGGGAGACCGTGGCTAGTTGGCTCGGTTTATACTCTATAAGCTCTGTAGCCTTAATAGCACATTTTTTTAAAAATATTAAAGTGTAGTCTCAAAGAGTATGAATTTGAGTAACTTATAAAATTTGCATTTATTTACAAAAAAAAATTCTTAGGGTCTTCCCGGGCTCTCAAAAAAAAAAAAAAATTGCACCAACTTACCCCACCACGGGCTAAGTTGGCACAAACTATAAAAATGATTATTAATGTACTATTAAGTGCAAAATTAATAAATATATTTTTACTATTAATTTTGGCAACAAATTTAAGCCAAAAATTTAATATTACTTTTAGCTGGTACTAAGTATTAATACGTATAACAACCAAAACAGTAGCCCATTTTATACCTGTGAAAAAAAAATCTAAAAAATTTTTTTGTAAGAATAAACTTTTTCAATATTGTTAATAATTAAAAAAAAAGAATTGATGTTATAAAAACATATATTTTTTTCCATAGTAAAACGGAACAAAACACAAAAAACTAACAGTTCTATAAGTCCCTGTGTAATAAGGTTATTAATAGTTAATAAAATTAATAAAACAAGTTCACAAAGAGACGTAATCCACTGTTATTTAGTGTGGTAGCCCTCTAAGTTTAGAGTTTCAGACAGGAGGTAATCCAGTATTATTTAGCATGATAGCCCTCCTATCAAGAGAAGAAGAAAAAAACCTTTAAAACTGACATTTTATTGTGTTTAAAAAAGTAACTTAAAAAAATCCGAAAAAATATTTAATCAGTGTAAAAAAATTTAGCAAAACATTTAATCAGTGTTTTATTAATATCGTGCAAAAAGTGAACTGATACTATTAAAATGAATGAGAACAATACAGCATTAAAAGATATAATTGATAAATTATGCAAAGCCACTAACATTTCAGTTCCTAATTCAAATTCAGGCAGAAAAGCTAGCGCAACATTTCCAGATTTACTAGTTATAGCCAAGGGTGTGGAGTCGTAAAAAAAAAAGTAACGACTTCGACTCCAGTTGTTGAATTTTTTTGAGTACAACTCCAACTCCGACTCCGACTCCAACTCCGACTCCTACTCCAACTCGAAAGCAAAATTTTTGAAAAATTCTTTGAATTCTTTAAAAAATATTGCACGATAAGTTGAAATTTTTTTTTTTTGACAAATTTATGAAACATTCTTTGAGGTTTAGTATGAACATAAGGTTAATTTAATGTTTTGTACTTGAACGTGCAATACCAAGAAATTTTACTATCGGAGTCGGAGTCGCGATATTTTTTAGCGACTCCGACTCCGACTCCACTAAAATTGTCGCAACTCCGCAACTTCGACTCCGACTCCGACTCCACAGCCCTGGTTATAGCAAGAGTATTAGAAACGATTCTAAATGAAAACATCCAATTAAAAAATAAACTGAGTGAACTAGAGGAAAAAAAACCGCTACCACTTATGCATCATTTCGGAGTAACTTTCCTAAACCCACATTATTGCCCAAATCACCCGAACAAATTGTTGTAGTTAAAGTAATAACTGAAATTAACAACGGTTTGTCAAAAAGAGAGAAAAATATAACTATTTACAACCTATAAAACAAATTAACTGACTCACTAGAACGTACCAATGTTGATAAAACCAGCATAACACACTTACTTGATTCAATAGGAGTAAACACTGAAAGAATTAGAAGAATAGTTCGATTCAAAACTCGAAATTCAAACGAAGCAGAGAAAAAATCAACTCCCATTCTAGTAGAATTTGATAATAACATAGATCGCTCTAGCGCATTAAATTTTGCAATAAGACTAAAAAACAATGAAAGACAAGTATATATTAACGCAGATTTATCTCCAATTGAGCGAGAAAATAGGAAAAAACTTATTGCAGAGAGAAATGATAGAAATAAAGTAAAAGGATTGAATGAAGAAAACAAATATAAATTCATTTTAAAAGGAGATTCACTAATCAAAGTTAACCTTGAAGGGAGGCAAACTAATACCAACTAGTAATTCAAAAACATATATACATTTAAATTTGCCATCATTACACAGAACTTCATCACCTAAATCAACTTCATTGAACTGTTATACCAATGCAACATCCTTAAACAATAAAATGCAAGAGCTTCGAACAATCTCCTTTCATCATAATTTTGACATTATTTTTATCCTAGAAACATGGTTTACAGACACATCCATCCCTATATTACCAACTATGAGTTATTTAGAAAAGATCGTGGTAATCGTGGGGTTGGAGTAGCCATATATGTTAACTTGAAATGAACTAGTACTAAAACAAATAATAAGATACTAAATGACGAATGTGTTGAGCAACAGTGGTGCTGTTTATCAATTGGCAAAGAAAAACTGCTGCTTGGATGTATATACAGGGCAACCTTAAAACTTCTCTAACCACTATAAGAGACAAAAAAATTTATGAATCCTTCTATAAAGCTAACCGCGACCTCTTGACTAAAAATTTTGATGGGGTAATTATTGAAGGCAATTCCAACTATGCTGACATCAAATGGGATGTAGAATGTAACCCATTCAATTCGAACAGTCTTGAGAGTGAAGCAAATTTTTTCAATACTGTTAATGATTGTCATTTTATTCAACACGTAAATTTCCAGACATGCTATAAAAACACCGAAGAAGCGTCTTCAATTGATCTAATATTTACTGAAATGCAAAAATAAATAACGGAGATATCTCCAGGACCAACGCTTGGCAACATTACACATGAACACTGTAGTATAATAGGGGAATATAGGACTTAAAATAATCAATTTTTTCATTGTTTCTCTGAAAAACCAGTATGACTGGAGTCCAATCAGTAGTGGCGTAATACAAGGATCAGTACTTGGACCGGAAACCTCTCACATCTAAGTTATGAATCACAATTAAAAAGGTTTAATATTACAACGCTAGAAACTCGTAGGTTAAGAGAAGATTTAATAGAGTGATTCAAACTTGTCCACGGCTTCATACAAGTTAAATGGTGTATATCTACGTCGAAAATATTAGTAAAACCTAATAAGTTAATGGAACAATCTGCACACAGAAGAAATCCCATTCAATTCAAAAAAGAACTAATTGAGGAATGTTGTACATCAAGATAGAATTTTAATCTTAATAGAATAACCACTGTATGGAATCGTCTTCCTCCGTCTATCGTATTATCTACATCACTGAAAATATTTAAAAAACGATTAGACGAATATATTGAAAGCAAATATAAAGTCACCGGCTAATATAGAGCGTGCTTATTACATGCTTTTGTTTAACATTATGAACATTTAAATGATTTTAATTGTTCTTTTGTTAAATTTCAGCTATAAATAGTTATTATTATTATTGAATGCTATGAGCCAACTTACCCCATGAAAATTTTGTCAACTTACTCCGAAAGCCTTTTTTTCAATAAACAGCCTATAGATCCTGAAAAAAAGCAACTTCGAAAAAAAAGTCTGAATGGATATAGTAAGCCGATTGTGACTGAAACTTTTGCAATATTTTTTTTTTCATCTGACGACCTATTTTCTTTGTAAAGTAAAAAAGAAGCAATGTTCCAAAAGCTACGTTTTTGTCAAAAAAAACACATAAATCCTGATATCTCTCATGCGCATGCGCGAATCTTGAAAATACTATAGTTAATGATGAAATGGTCAATTAGGAAGTTTCTGTGTAATTTTTGTCACTTTCTGATGAAAGGCTCTAAAGATAAACGCAGTTTGTCAACTTACCCCTGCAGCCAACTAGCCCCGGTTTCCCCTATTCTTAGTTATACGCATAAATGATATTAGAGTATTATGATAGTAGTTTTATTGTATTAAGGGTAAAGTAAAGCTTGCGCGGCCGTGATGCAGTGGTTGGAGCGCTTGCTTTAGAAGCAGGAGATTCAGGCTCGAAACGAGCTCTGGACATATTTTTGCGTCACGGTAAGAAAGGAGGCGTGAACTTCCTGGTTAAATGCACTTCCGCAGTGCTCTGTGATAAGAGCGTTAGATCTTCTGGGGGCACCTAAATAAAAAAATAATAATAATAAAGCTTTGATCAAGTGCAATAAAATAATAGTTTTGCAAAACATTTTCTTACATTTAAAATTCTGTTTCGAACAAAAAAAGGTTGTTTTTAATAATTTTCATGACCTAAATAAGTAATAAACTTGAATTATTTTTTCTAGTTTACATTTTTTTTTTATTTATCAAAATAGTCGCAAGCAACTCTAACTAGTAATATGGGTTGTACCGGGACTCTAAGTGACCGCTATTTGTTAACATTTTTCGCAGTCCTTTAAAAGTTCACAACCTTACGAGACCAACAAACAATTTTTCAATTAGTTGGCATGAAATAAGAAAACCATCACATTTTTTATTTATAAAGTACAAAAAAAAAAAAAAAAAAAAAATTCTAAGGTATTTCTGTTTGTATATTTTAAGTCTTATTTTTGTAATTTAAATTTAAAATAGTTTGAGCAACACTTATTTTCTTTACTTTCTAGTATTAAAAGTTATCGCAATAAATTCACTATTTATTTTGAAGTAAAAAGTAAATTATTCGATATTTGAAACAAAAGAATGTCTACGATAGATCTTGTTAAATAGAATAGAATATGCTACCAGTTGACATGCTACAATTTCGAATTTTTTAAAAGATTAATTGATTTGAATTTAATTCTTAGAGTTTAACTAGTTTCCAATAAGACTATTTAAAAAAAAGATGGATAACTAAAAACAAATCGCAAAAATATAAAATTAAAAAAATAAAAATGATTATTTAAAGTAATTTGTTCGTTTATGCTAGATAATTTTAATTTAATAAATTGTTTAATATTTTTTAGAATACATGCAACAACAAAATGAGCAAAGATTTCAATGAAATTTGTGAAAATGCTAAACTTGCACGTGAAAGTGCATTATTAGGACAATATGACTCAGCCTTAGTTTACTATCAAGGAGTATTGCAACAAATCCATAAAATGATGTTGCAATCAAGAGACTTATCTCGTAAACAAAGATGGCAAGTTGTAAGTATTAATTTATTGTAAAGTATTATAAATCAACTATCAGTTAAATAGTATTTGACATTTAGATAGATACAGGGGTTGGTTTAATTAATACCCTTTTTTACAGGCTAAACAGGAAATTGCTCAAGAGTTTGAATATGTAAAAGATATTAATCGAACTTTAGCGGACTTCAAGCGAGATACATTTAACCCATCAGCTCCACCTTTAAAACTTCGTGAATATGGTGAAATACCAACAAGAGAAACGAGAGACCCTGATGTGTGGGCTCCTCCAACTCCTATTGACAGAGAAACAAGGTGATTTTTATTGCAGCTACAGTTTTTTATATCTTATATTTTAAAGCAAGTTACTAAGAAAAAGAAAGTTCTAATATAATACTTCAAATTTTATTAAAAGTATATAATATATTTAAATTATATATAAATATATAAGTATTATTTATAAGGCAGAAGAAGCTTTTAAACCTTGGATGGCAATCTTTTAACTTTTAAAAATATGTAATCCTAATTTGCAAAATAGTTTAATGCTAGGAGGGGCATTTGGTGTGTGTGTGTGTGTGTGTGTGTGTGTGTGTGTGTGTGTGTGTGTGTGTGTGTGTGTGTGTGTGTGTGTGTGTGTGTGTTTAAGAGATTGATTTTTTATCATTTTTTCTGTGAACCTGCATTAACTGATGAAACATGTCTCTTTTGAAATCATATTTAACAAAAGTCATGATTGATAAATTGATAAAGCTACAGTTAAGCTGCCTAAAGTATATATATATATATATATATATATATATATATATATATATATATATATATATATATATATATATATATATATATATATATATATATATATTAAAAAAGAAGAGTATAAAAGTGCATATCAGTAAAATAATCATTATAAATAATAATAATAATAATAATTTATATAATTATAATAAAATTAGCTATTATTATTATTAATAAAAAAAGTATTTATAATAATAGTTATAATGTTTATTATAAATGTTTAAAAGATTTTCAAAGTCTCAATGAACAAAAGCACAAAAATAGAATTATGTTTGGCTGCTTAACTGTAGTTTGACTATCATGATGCTTAATTACAATTATTTTGGATACTTTAACAAAAATAACAGTATTTTGAAATTTATAATATGGTAAAATTTCTACTTAATACTTAAGCATATCACTTATTTTTGAAAAAAAATCAATTTCTTGTTTAAAGTTTTGACTGAAATTTGGTTCAATGCTAGGATTTTTATAAAAAGAAAATGATGGATTGAGCATGAAAGGCGAAGGGGGTGCAAATGCTAATACAGAATTTTAGAATATTATAGAAAAAGACTTTAAGGGACATTTGATTTAAAAAAAAAAATTTTGTTAAAAATTATTATATATATATATATATATATATATATATATATATATATATATATATATATATATATATATATATATATATATATATATATATATATATATATATATATATATATATATATATATATATATATATATATATAAAGATTTTTTAGGTTTTAAGTTAAAGATCTTCCAGACATGAAGCAAACATATATTTGTATCTTTATACTATATGTCAAGTATGTTTTACAAAAGATTGTGATGAATCAATCAATATATTTTCGATAAAAGATCTTACAATTGAGGTCACTTACAAATAGTTAAAAACTAATTTTAAGTAAATACTATGATATAGCATTAATAATAAAATAATAATGATGATAATAATAATGATAAATTAACAATTATAAAATAATAAGAAAGTTATATGATAATAAACCAATATCAATTTTAAACCAACAATTAAATATAATGCACAGACAGGAAAGTTACAAATGTTTATGTGCTGACAAAATGTAACAACCTACCATGTAATTAAAACAATTACTACAAAAAAAAGTAACAATGATTTAATAAATATAATAATTTTAATATCAATAAAAGTAATATTAATATTTCATTAAAAAATAACAATAAATAAACAAACAAAAAATTTTCAATAACACTCAAATAAAAACGTGTCACACACACAAACATTTATTCACGGAAAGTATAGAGTTTTCATAATAAATGACATTCAAATAAAAAAGAAAATCATATCAAGCAAATGCATATCGTCTCTCAAAAATAATAAAATTTAAAAAATATTCTTTTTCATTTTTTCAAAAACGGAGCAATTTTTATATTTTGTTTTAATTTTTTTTAATTACTTTCCATTTTCAAATGTTTTTTTTCTTTTAACTTTGGTTTTTTGTCTTTCCTTTTTCTTTTTTTGTTTCTTTTTTAGTTTTTTTCTTTTGTTAATTTGTTTGATTTGGTTTTTAGTTTTTTTTTAGTTTTTTTTTTTTTTTTAATTTAGTTTTTGAATGAAACTGGAAACAAAAAAATGCCATAAAATTTTTTTCTAAGCTTTGCTAACCTTCGTAATTTAACTTTATGTACCTTAGTTGTGCGCTTGCACATAAAATAAATTAAATAGTTATAATATAAATAAAAAAATATTTCTCTAAAAATAAAAATAAATATAAAGTTTTTTATTTGGTTTTAGATTTTTATTTTGCATTTAAAGCATAAACAAAAATAAACATTTAAATGAAACTTAACTAAAAATAAGACTTTGTTATATATATATATATATATATATATATATATATATATATATATATATATATATATATATATATATATATATTTCTTTACTTAATTAAATTGATTTTTTTGTAAAATATTTAATTTATTAAAATATAAAAATTTAAATTATAAATAATAATTTTTGATAATAGGTATTGATAAATTTTGATAAAAGTTTTAACAATACTTTTGCTAAATCAAACCAATGCACAGATTGACTTCATTTACTAAGTCAGTTTGTGGTGCAGGAATAATGCTTTAATGTAATTAAAGTTCTTTAGAGCAAGCACAATATGTGTTCTTGTATATAAACATTTTTAAAACTCTTTTATTTCCTATATTTTTCTACATGATTATCTTTATACACTTTTTCAATTAGTAGAATGGTGTAAATTAAGTGAATCCAATTCGCTCCACAATAACATCATTAGGGGGGGGGGGCTAGACAAATAAAAGTTTTTAGAGCATGGAGGGACAGATACTGTAAAAAGATGTGACTTTACCAAATGAAAAATCTATCGAGAATGAGTTTGGTTGATGGAACTAGAGCTGATAGCTCCTTTGATCAGCGACCATGATTTTTGTAGAAAAGAGAAAGAGACGCAACTTTATGACAATGGGAGAAAAGCTCAAGCTTGGTAGATAGAACAGGTTTAACTACATTTATAATACGTTGTTCTATATTTTTGGACCTTGTCAGTATGTTCTCCAGAGTTTTTCAAAATTGGAACCACAGATGTCATTTTCCAGCGAGTAGGAAAACAAGGTTTATTAAACTTATTAAATAGTTTTACAAAAATTGAAGAGAGTTTTAGAAAATAATTTAATAAAACTATTACAGGAATGTCTGCACCACAAGCTGTATAAGAGTTTAATTGACTTTTGCAATGTCGCTGGGGTGCTTTGAATATTTAATATGGGTTAAAATGAGTCGAATTAAAAGAAAACTTCTTTGCAAGTAGTTCAGCCTTATCTTGAATACTTGTATGAATGTATATGTAGAATACACAATAGCATATGTATATGTAGAATACACAATAGCATATGTATATGTAGAATACACAATAGCATATGTATATGTAGAATACACAATAGCATATGTAGAATGCAATCTTGAGAAGAAGGAGAATGATAAAGAACAAAAGAGAAAGGTGGTGAATAGTTGTTAAGTTAGGGTGGTAGGGTGAATAGTTGTTGAGTGGAAGCACATAAAAAAATAGTCAGAGGATTCAAACCTGATTTTTTGACTAATAAGTTTATTGATGCGCAAGTAATTAAGTTATTTTAAGTGATTCTTTAAAGAAAGCAGTTCTTGTCAAGATTTATAAGTTTTAGCTTGGTTTCTTTTCAGGTAAACATTTTTGAAAATCTAAAATGTTTACCTGAAAAATGTTTACCTTTACTTTTTATCTCAACTCAGTTCATGTTTTCTTTTTCAAGTTCATTGTTTTCTAATATTACAAGGGTTTTATGTAAACATTTATAAAAACATTGGTAATTTTGCTAACTAAGACCAATTTGATCTTTTGTCTCTTGCATTGATCAGATCTTGTTAACAAACAAAGATCGAATGGTATGCAAAGAACTTTTCCTTCAAATTACAAAAATTTTGCAAATGCTATTAATGAACTACCAAGTAAATTAATGAATAAATGCAAATTGTTTGCTGATGATACTAAGACTTTGTCCAAGGTAATTTTAGATAAATGTACCTCAAGTCAACAGAAGCAAGACTGGCTTTTAAAACTTAATGTTGATAAATGTGTAGTAATGCACTATGGAGTAAACAACAAAAAGAATCCTCTATATGTTAATGGCATGAAACTACCAGAATCAAACAGCATAAAAGATATAGGTGTAATATTTTTTAAAAATCTCAATTAGAAAGATCAAGTTATTTTTGTAACAAATATTGCAAATAGAATGTTAGGTCGAATTCAAAAATCATTTGCAAGATTGGACTGTCATTTACTTAAATCACTATATGTAACCTTTTTTTATCCTTTTCTAGAGTTCTCAGTAACAGTATGGTTCCTGTAAAAGGTGACTGTATAGTAATTGAATAAGTTCGGCATCGAGCCACCAAATTGATTAAATCAATTAGGTGTTTCAGTTGCGAAGGTCAATTAAAAGTTTTGAAATTGATAACTCTAACTAAACAAAGAAAAAAAGGTGATATGATCCACTGTTTTAAAATAATGAACAACATTAATAAAACAGAGCATAACATACAAACTGTTATGCTCTGTTTTATTAATGTTGTATAATACAATACAAAATCATATTAGAGGTCACTGTTTCAAATATTATAGGGAAACAACAAAAAATCTACAAAAGCATAATTTCTTTTACAATAGACTGGCAAACTTATGGAACTCATTGCCTTTGAAACTAGTCAAATCATCGTCTGTAAACTCCTTTAAAGCAGGATGTCAATCCTGCTTTAAAGGAGTTTACAGACGATGTGGTTAGACAACCATTATTATATCTTACTCGTGGTTAGACAACCATTATTATATCTTATTTTTTCTTTTGTTAAATATCACTTTATTTTGTGTTTAACTTGCATAGTTTTATCCAAAGATAAGAAGTTGATTTAAAAGAGTGTCTCGTTGTAAAAGGCATTTCTTTCAACACTTAAATATAGTGGTGAGTGTAAGCGTATGCTGTTTTTTTTGCGCTAAGATCAACTATTTTATTTAAGATTTTAATGAACATTCGTGTTGCAAATACTTCAAATTATATGTGAATATTTATAAAAAAATTTTAAAGTATTTTAAATATTTAGTAACTACATTTTAGTAATTTTAATTTTAGTAGTTATTAAATGTTTAAAATACTTTAACCATTTTTGAATCAATTTGAAAAATTAAAATAGTAATTATGCTAACAATAAATAATAGTATTTGCAAAATTAGAATGATAATAATTAAGCTTATTAAATGCTTGAGTTTTATATTCAAATATTTGAATATTTGCCTAAATCTTATATATCGTCTATATAAATTACAGATGAAATCTAAATTTGGTAATAGACCTCTTCACAGTTCCGATAATTTCATGCATGCATATTTAATAGTAAGTCATGGTTCCTTATGTGCAGAATCGCATGAAAGAAAGTAAATACACAAATATATTATAAAAGCATTCATGGAAACAGTTGTTTACATGAGATATCTTTTCTTTTTTTCATAATAAAGACATCGGTTTTGCTTTATTATAGTTTATTTTAACTATTTTGAGTCTAAATTTATATTATTTATATATTTATACTCTATGTGTTTGTCTTATAGAATATATATGAAAGAAATAAAAGCTCTTAAAGAGTGTGAAAATGCACAATGTAAGTTGTGTGTGTATATATATATATAATATATATACAATATATGCATATATGTGTGTGTATATATATATAATATATATACAATATATGCATATATGTGTATATATATATATATATATATATATATATATATATATACACACACACAGTACTGGAAAAAATATTATGGATTTTTCAGTTTTTAAATAAAAATCAAGTTTTTTTACTTCTAAAACAGTTGTAACATAAAAATAAAGTTACAGATTATCAAAGTTTTTTAATACTTGGTTTGAACACCTTTGGCAGCTTTTAATGCTTTCACTCTCTTGGGCATGCCTATGATTAAATCACGGCATAACTTGGTGATTTTTTTTGCTGTGAACCCAGATATGGATTAACCTTTCTATAAGCTGTGCTTTTGTAGTAATTGGAACTTTGTGTATTTTGTCCTTCAAAATGTCCCATAAATTCTCTATTGGGTTCACATCTGGTAAATTCCCAGACCTTTCGAATACAGAGAATTCATTGTCTCGGAACAATCTCATTGACAGCTTGCCTGTATGGCAAGGAGCACAATCCTGTTGAAACATAAAATCCTTATCAGCGAACTGGTGTCTGACTTAAGGGACTCTCTCCAACACCTTCATATACTTTCTTTGGTTCACCATTCCTTTCACAATATGTAAACAGCTTGTTCCATAAATGGGTATTGCTCCCAACACCATGATCTTAGTGTGGAACTTCATTGTTTTCTTAAGACACTCAGGCTTAAACTCCCCTCCAGGCCTTCCGCTTACTGTCTGGGTTCTATCATCCAACACAGCAATTGTTGACTTATCTGAGAATACTACCTGAACAAAAAATTCAGCGTTTCTACCCTCATCCAGCTTCCTTTTCACTGCACTAACTGTTTGTGTTGAAATCTCTATTTGTTTTAGGCTACTATTCTCCAACAAAACACATATTAGTCCTTTTTTTAAGGGCTCAGGTCTTTTCTTTTCCCCATCACTTCAAAATCAGTCAAAAATGTCAAAGATTTTGCTGAACAACTATTTTTTTTTTTCAGAACTGAAACTTAAAATTTGTAAAGTTCAAATACATACGGAGTACACCGTACACCATAGAGAGTAAAAGAAAGTGACGCAAACTCAAATTAACATGTTTCAGAATTTACAGGTAAATTTCAGCTTTTCTTGTCTACATGTTAAATGACCCTAAAATTAAAAAAACCAGATCTAAATAGATATTATTTGACAATAAAATAGTCCCATTACTATATATATAATTGTCATTAAAACAAAAGAATATCATTGACCACTGAAAACTTTTTGGCTGTCTCAACTTATGGAATTTAGTGACAATTCTAAAAATCCATAATAATTTTTTCAGTACTGTATATACATATATGTATGTGCGTGTGTGTGTGTGTGTGTGTGTGTGTGTGTGTGTGTGTGTGTGTGTGTGTGTGTGTGTGTGTGTGTGGGTGGGTGTTGTTTTTGTTTTTTTCCTTGATTACAAATGTTATATAACAAAAACATATAAACAGTATAGATTTTAGATTTATAATGGTTAAAATAAACTTAAATAAATCTAAATCAATGTCTTTTTTATGATAAAATTAAAATATCTTCAGTAAACAACTGTTCTTTTAAGGTTACTATTTTAATTTATATGTGTATTTACTTGTTTTTCATGCCATTCTGCACCTAAAGAACCATGACATACTATTAAATATGTGCACATATTTAATAGTATGTCATGGTTTTTTAGGAACTGTGAAGATTATTGAAAAAATTATATTTCTTTATAATTTGTTTCTTTAAACAATCTTATACTTTTGTATGCTTACCTTTTCTTTTTTTTTTTTTTATTATAATTTTTTTTTTTTTACGTATTCAATCAAATATTTTTAATAAAGATTATAACAATTTATAAATAGATTTTATTTGTTACCAATAAGATATTTGTAAGCGTTATTTATGTTCATATATATATTATGTCAAAAGAACTTTACATGATATTGAATTAATAAGAAGAAATTTTTTTTATACATTTATGGAAAAGATTCTGTTAAACAAAAACTCTTCTTATTATAAAAGAATAAGTTTTTTTATTTTCACATAGTTTAATATTTGATGGAGAGACTAGCAGATAGTGAATTAGCAGATAATAAGAAAATAATTATACATTCTTTTGAAAATAAATTTTACATTCTAGGTTCTATTTTACATTCCTACAAAACAAAATTTTTATTTTTTTTAAATAATCTTTTAAAGAAATAAAAATTTAAATAAACATAAGCTTTTAATTTAATATTTTAATTTTCATTTTGAATTAAATATGAGCAATTTAGCTTTTACAAAAGGTAACATTTATGGTACACTAAGACTCGTTTTAAATAAATGAGATAATTGTGGTAAACTTAATGATAAAAAATATATATATAATTTAAAAAATTGCATACATAAATAAGCTACATTTAACAATGGATTTTTTTTTAATTAAAAATATTGAAGTTTAAAAATTACTAAAATTTAATAAAACTTTTAGTTAGTTATTGTAAACTGAATACAACCTAGGGTCAGAAAAAATCAAGGAGTGAAGGTGATTAGTGTTGTCTGAAAAACAAGTCACAAAGTTAAAAACCTGAGTAAAAGATTGAGGAAAACAAAGTTATAGACTTGAGTGCTAGCGGGTCAGTGGTGTTAGAGCTAAGACATTCAGTGTGATGAGCATTAAAGTCAACAATAACAATAATATTGGCAAAAGGATAAAGAGAAAGGACAATTTGATCAGAAATTACTTCTAAAAAACTGCAGTCTTGAGAGAAAGGAGAGTGATAAAGAACAAAGAGAAAGATGTTAGAGTAAAGAATTACTAAGCGGAAACATATGAAATAATTGTCAAAGGATTCAAACTGTTTTTTTGATATATAGATAAATTGGTCCACAAGTATACCCCAAGTCAAGCATGTGACTATTAAAGTCTTTGTGAATCAAAAGATAATACCCATCAATACTGAGATTTAAAAAAGAAACATCCAAATTAAATTAGTCTTACAAAGAACAAGCAAGTCTGGTGAATTTGGTAAGAGGTAAGATTCAACAGATGGAAAGTTAGTTAGACCACAAGATTTTGTAAAAATATATTGAAACAGTTTGATGGTGGGGATGGTATATATGCATACTTAAAACATCAATTAAGAAATCGTGGTGGGTGAATTTTTTTAAATATTAAATTGACTAACAAATATATACAAAAAACATAAATTTAATGTTAAAGGGTTTCAAAATGTTTTAAAAACTATTAAATGTCTACATATAAATTACAGTATTGTGTATTATACTTTAAATAATTTTGTAAATTGTGTTTGTAAGTTGTATAAATAAACGCTGTTTACTTTTATTTTTTTATATTTTATTTTCGCTTTATACTTGTTTAAAACTATATAATATAAAATTGACTTTTGATAATAGTTTTTTGTTTATTAATTTAATTTTTTTGTTTTTTTAAGAAGTTCTAAACCTGTATCAAAGCCTGTTGTTCGAAACATTCGTAATGATCGTTATAATGATGATCGCTCATCTCGCACTTCAAAAACCAAAGCCCCTAATAAACCTAGTAGCAATAAAGAAAGTAAAGCACCTCCAGCTGTCAAATCAAAAGTGGATACCAGGCGGTCTAAGGAAGATAAATCAACAAATGTTAGTATTTTATAAATACTTTAACCTCTAAAGATAATATTTAATAATATATAAGTAACTTTAAAGAAGGATTTTTGTCAGTAGAGAAGTTTATTTTATATTGAAGGAAGAGGATCGAGAAGCACGTTTTGATGGCTCAGGGTATGATAAAGAGTTAGTTGAAGGTTTGGAAAGAGATATTGTTCAAAAAAACCCAAATGTGAAATGGTATTTTTAAAACTTATTTTATGATTAAAATATTTAATAACTTTTGTTTAATGAGAAGTTTTTAAAGTTTAAACAACATTTGTCAAAAAATTCTGGAATTGATTTATTATGCTATGTTTGGTTATGTTAAGTTATATATTATAGACGCAAGTTTTTTAATTTTATATCATGCAGTAATTAAACTTGATATATAGCTACCATACTAAGATTTATGAGAATGTTGATTGGTCATTTATAATGACCTCTTTTTTTCTAGGAATGACATAGCTGAACTAACTGAAGCAAAAAAACTTCTCAACGAAGCTGTAGTTTTGCCATTGTGGATGCCTGATTTCTTCAAAGGAATTCGAAGGCCTTGGAAGGTTGTTTTTTGATCACCTTTAGTAAATCATCTTAAAGATAACTTTAAAAAATTTTTTTTTTAGATACCTTAAGATAAACATCAAACGTCAACATGTTTATAAATTAATAAAAATTTTAAATAAAGTTAAACATTGTTTTAAATGTTTTCTGATACATTTCATAGTACTTGCATTTTCTTAGTTTAAATAATGGGAATATAGAGTATAGTAAACTATTGCTGTCTGCAGTTATAGTATGGAGTTTTATAAACTATTGCTGTCTGCAGTTATAGTTACTATTGAATTTTATTTATTGAGATAAAATTTTCTATATATTGAGAATTTTCATTTTTGTGCTTATTCAGAAATTGTAAGACACAGATTTTAATTAAATATTCTATGATAATTAAAAATAATCTTTCAAATATAGTGTATGCACTTTCGTTAATATATGTCAAAAGTGTGTCATTTTACTTAAAGAGAATGTTTAGTTTAAATCTTGATAAGTGTGTTGTTTTATTTTAAAAAAAGAACTTTAACTATGGTTTAACAGGTGATGCGGAAGTTATCGAACAAATCTGAATTTAATTATTTGAGTATATTAATTTGTTTTTGTAAATTTATGCGTGGACATAAACATTCTATAAAATATCAACTTTGTTATATGAAACACAATTATTTAAAATGAGGTTAAATGCAGCTGAATGAGAATCTTTTCAAAAGCAACTCAAAATGTTTTTTTGTAAATAAACTAAATATATAAGATAAAGAAATCGTAAATCATTTTGAAAAGGAAGGACTTGCTCAAAGTACAATATATGATAACCTAAAAAGACTTTTAACTGTTCAATCCTTTTTTGATAGAAAGCACCCTGGTCGCCCAACATCCCGAAGTAGAGAAAAGAAAGCCGAATTTTGAAAATGGTATTGTATGCATGACTATTTTTTCATGTTTTCATTTTTTTCAATTATTCAGCAAAGATTAGTCAGCAGATTAATCAACAGCTATGCTTGTGGTACTCAGCTCTTTTCAGTTATGCTTGTGGTACTCAGCTCTTTTCAGTTTTTATAACACATCAACCCAATATGAATGCATGAAAAAATGAGGAACTTTAGTAGAATCAGTAGAAGAGATTGAATACCATTAAAAGTTTAGAAAAGGAATTTGAATTTAATGAAAACAATGAATTAGCAATACTGATGAAAATTAGTTTAGTAAAAACTGTGAAACAGTAATTCTTATAGATTTTTTTTAAAGTGGGTAATTTATTATTTGAAGATGTAATTACAATTGAAGTAATTAGTTCCGAGTTTTTCATCCATCCCTGGTAAAATGGCGCTCAACTTGTTTCTCTGTGCAGCAACTTTGTTTTTCAAGGTTCGTATTTTGGAGTTAAAGAGTTGAGATAGGGTTGTAACCACAATATATTAGCCTCAATGACTGTAGCCTTTTCAACTGAAAGATTTCATAAGATAAAAAGTTGACGAGTATTTTGTTTGGACAAGTGATAGTTTAATGAAAGAAAATTCGGATCTGTCAATGTTTTCTAATTTTGTAACAACTAACATTTTATTGGAGTTTATGCTAAATAAATTAAAAGAACTAAAAAATATAATAAGTTATCTAGTTTTTAATGCATTAGCCATCAGAGTTAATTTTCAAAAAGACTGAATTAAGTTGTTTACTACAATATCTATGTTGTGGAGAGAACAAAGTAATATTATAGATATAGCAGTGCGGACAGAAATTCTCTATCATAAGTTAAGCCAACAAGTTTTTTATTATTGAAAATATCACAATATATAGTGTTAGTGCACATATTATAAAACCAACCGTGTTAATTAAGTTATAAATACTTAGTTTTCTGTCAGCGTATTTTCAAGACATAATTTATGTTTTTTTAATGCAATTTACTGAATTAAATAATTTTAATAATAAAACATAAAATAATCTTGGGGTTTGTTTTTTCAATCCTGGGATTAGAAATTTTCTAACTTTTTGTAGGCTATAATTGTTTACCATTATATTGACCATTGACTGTTAACAAAGATTCGATTGTAAATCTCAATTGTTAACCACAAATATTGAAATTCCAATTATTTCTTTAGGGTGTTTTAATGGTTGGACCACCTGGCACTGGAAAAACAATGTTAGCAAAAGCTGTTGCAACTGAATGCGGGACAACATTTTTTAATGTAACTTCATCAACATTAACATCAAAGTATAGAGGTGAATCAGAGAAACTTGTGAGGTTGCTTTTTGAAATGGTATTAAAAAAAAAAATTTTACTACTTATATTGCAATAATTTGTATGTATATTTAAAATTTACATAGTAATAGAAACAATCTATATATATATATATATATATATATATATATATATATATATATATATATATATATATATATATATATATATATATATATATATATATATATATATATATATATATATATAGTCTCCTGCTCTTAACTAAATGTGTTCTATATAATACAAAAACACTAGGTTTAAAATTTTTTTGAATAAAAAATTTTTTAGGGGTGCCTCGAGACCCTTATTTGACAGTTTCCTAATGTTTTGAAAAAAAATGTTTTTCAAAAGTATGTTAACCTGGTACTCAAAAGAAGCGAAATTATATAAAAACTTTAAAAATAATAATGAATTTACATAAAAAACATGTTTTAATAAATTATTTTAAAAAAACTTGAAAATACTGACTTTTTTTATTATCACCTTAAAAACAATAGTTTTTAGGCAATTATATCTATACCAAATATTCTTATGACAGGCACCAGCACGGGGGTTACCAGCACCCAAATTATCTTCTTAGAAGAGCCCCTGTATATATATATATATATATATATAATATATATATATATATATATATATATATATATATATATATATATATATATACTCGTGATAACTTGTGGACAAAATTTGAAATTTTATAACTTTTTAATGGTATGATCAATTTTGTTAATTTAAAAAGTATATTACAAAAAAAGTCTAAATAATAAAGTTATAAGCTTTTCATGCCACAACAAACAGTCTACTCTTGTAAATGTTGCGGTAGTTAGCCAGTGTACTCCTCTTATGTCAATAAAAATCTTTACACCTGCTAATAAGTTTTTAATTGAAAACATGACCTATTTTATTCTTTTATTAGTTTATCCAAATTTTCAGCTTGCCAGCTTTATTGTACACCAATCTTTTAAGTGCAGACAACAAATCTTTAATCTGCAATATTTCTGGCAGGGTTATGCAGCTTTGGTACAAACTTGCTGTTTGGATTTTAGGTTGTAAGATTAGCTTTATACTTTACATAAATAATGTGACAAAGCAAGATCATACCAGAAAAATACATTGGATTTTTTATGATATTTTTCAATGAATTTCTCTAATCTGACAAGACATTTTTATATATACATATTTTTATTTACTGCTTGACCCAATGGTACAATGTAATGCTGGTAGATTTCTTATTGTCAAGAATGCAATTTGAGCCAAACAAGTAGTTTTGGCTCAAATTTCTCTTTTTTTTCAAACTTACATCATTTGATGCTGCATTTAAGTGAGAAAAATAAAATCTAGTGTTTCTAATATATATTAAAAATTGAAACCAATCTACAGCATTTCAAACTGCTGCTTTTTGTACCAGTGTTCTTTTAGATATTTAGTTTTTTTTTATTATAGCGATTGCTAGTTTGTTTATTAACAATTTTGCATATGTACGATTGTAATACATTAAATCATTTTGCAAAACTGCGCTATGAAATTCTAACCTTTTGATCAGTTGTTTTATTAAGACTAAAACTTTTATTGGTTCTCACTAGCACTTTTGTTTCTAAAATTTATATACAGTTTATTTTTAAAGTGCCAAACCTTAGTAATCTTGATTGTAATCCCTTAGTAAATAAACTAATTGTTATAAAAATTAGTAAACTAATTGTTAGGCTGAGAGTTTTTTTTTTATCATAAAACTTTATTGATTTTATTTGAATCAATAAAGTTTTTATATTATTCTAATTTTAATTGATTTATTATCTTTATCAGTTAAATGATTTGCCAAAGTCAGTTCAAGTTTAGTATTAAGTCAGGTTCAGGATCATCATGATCACCCTGCTACTGGTATCATGTAACATAGTGCTACCTGCCATAAGCCCTGCTGCCTTTTAGGGTTTGCTTTTTTTAGGCAACGGCTAGGAGAAATAATTCCAACTTATTCTGCCTCGGGGCTCTTGGTTGAGCAAAAGTTAGAGATAGTGTCTCAATAAAAATACTCATCTTGGGCAGATGTTAACTGCATCCAGCTAAAATTTCCATGCCTTTGGCTCTTGGTTGAGTGAAGGATAAAAATGATGTCTCAATAAAAATACTTATCTTGGACAGATGTCCAAGATAAGGTAAAGACTTTAGGGATAAGCAGAATAATTCTGTTGACCAACCTCAAATCCCTTATTCATCTATTAGGTTTGCATAGATTGAAACCTTTGTTACATTGTTTCCTGTCTAGGATAATGAATGCTGGATCTTCTTGACTCTACTCTACTCATAGGTTTTTGCATGTGCTACCTTGACAGTGGCTATGCAACTCTTCCTGTTATCTCCTAATGAGGGTACAGCTTTAAAACTCAGTTTAATGGTTCTGAGGCAAGCTGGTAGTAAGGTTTCATGAACTATGTAGTAGGTTTCAGAGAGGTTGATTCTATTGATAAATCAAAAAGAAAAATAATCAAAAGTAAATATTTGTTGATAAAGAATCATTGTAAAATTTTTAAATTTTAATTTTTAAAGAATGATTGTAAAATTTTGAAAAAATTAAAATTTACTTATATTTAAAAGTTTATAAATAGGATGGTTTGCTTATGCATTATATATTAAAATGAGAACAAATTGTTTTCATGTTGATAGGTAATCACTCAAAATAAAGTGAACTTTTCATTTCAAGTAGTCATGTAATAACATTAGACATGGCAAAACAATAGAGAGTCAATTTTCCAAATGTTGTGCCTGGATATCAAAAATATCAATAATGTTGGCAAAGATATCAATAATGTCAACTCCTTTGATGCTATAACCCGTAACTTTAATGAACAAGATACTTGTGATTTTAATCAATCTTTTACAAGTGCAACTTTTAAAAAGAATCAAGAGAGACATTAAATGTTAGTCTTGAAGTAATAGGTGTAATCTAGTGTCAAATGTAAGTAATCCTCCATAAAACTTAATTCCAAAGCATCAGCGGTTATTTGTTGCTATAAGTAAAGTTAAAAAAATAAAGTATGAAGAGCATATTTCAAAAGTATTTAATTTAGTGAAGCAGAATTGAAACATTCCTTATATCAAAAAATTTATACAAATAAATGTGATGATCTAGACAACCTAACAGCAGAAATAAAAGAAAAATAAGTTGTTTCTGATTGAAAAGCTTGTTCATGAAATTATACTGCAAGATATTTTAACATATCTGAATAACAAATTAAAAAAGCGAGCAAACTAAAGAAAATAATGTTTGCAGTTCCAGACACTAAGAAGGGAAAAGTATTTCTGAAATAACATTGAATTTATTATGGTAACTATATATAGTTACCATAATAAATTCAATGGTATTAGCTTTTATAATTTTACTGTCTTTATATAATCCAGTTCAACAAACACCAAGTTTCGGACATTTAAAAAAAATTAAATGTACACTCAAACAATTTCCTCTTTCAATATTATAATTGTTCTTTTCTTCTTATCTTTCATGTTAATTGTTATTTTTTCTTTGTAACATTAGTATGTAATTGTTCTTTTTCTCTTTGAAATCTTTTTTTCCTTAAGGGTAATGACTCATAGTAGTTTTATAATAAGTTAAGTGTAGGTATCATTATGTCCTTTAAGCATAAAGTTTTTACTTTTTATTTAGAATTGTTTCTTAGATACTAGTCAACAGTAACAATTTTTAATGATTACCATCACTATAAATTGTTACTGTTAATTAGCATCACATTTTGTTACTGCTAACTAGTATCACATTTTGTTACTGCTAACTAGTATTACACTTTGTTATTGCTAACCAGTATCACATTTTGTTACTGCTAACTAGTATCACACTTTGTTATTGCTAACTAGTATCACACTTTGTTACTGCTAACTAGTATTACACTTTGTAATTTCTAACTAGTATCACACTTTGTTACTGTTAACCAGTATCACATTTTGTTACTGCTAACCAGTATCTTACTCTTTAAATAGTGATGATTGTTGGGAGCATCTTTTTGACTAGAAAAATTCATTAACATCGATGGTTTTTTAGTAATATACATACACTAGCATCCATAATTATTCAAATGGTGGTACTTTTCAAAATAAGACATCAAAGTTTTACTTACTATTAGGAGAGAAACTGTAAGTAAAGTCTAACTGAATTCTATGTTATCTTCCTATTTAATAGGTTTACAAAAAAATTTATATTAAGTCCCATTAGATTAGCTTATAGTTTAATTGACTTTTAATCACTCTTAACGAAAATAACTGCCATACATATTCTTGGCATTCTACTTAATGACTTATCCAATTTGTTGAAGTCAATTTTATGCCACTAACTGATAAGTTTTTTCCACATCTTATGCATCATTAGGCATTAGTTTTTGACATTACTTTTAATTTCTTCCATGAAAATATGATAGGATAGAGATCTAGTGATTGGGGAGGCTTAATCATTCTATTCAATATTTTATCATTCTCAAACTCAGTCAAATAATTTTTTTTGAAAAATTTTATTTGAATTTAAGTTTTAAAAAATCATTTTCTTCTAAAAAAATAAATGGCTTCCCATTAACTCATCTTTCCAAAGGTGTAGCATAATTTTTTTTTTTAGAAATTTTTTACTATTTACTATGTGTCCAAATAAACTACTTTTGTAGTTACACCCTCTATTTTTACAAAGTCACCTGTGGCACTCCAACCAAAACAGCCCCACACCTTAACACTACATCCACCATGTTTTATAGCCAATAATACAAACTATTTTATCATAAATTCAACAATTTGTTTTTTCAGACAAACAATCTCATCTTGAAACCAAAGATTTAAAACTTCAAAACTTTGGTCCACATTTACAGTCATTAATAGTCCATTTTTTATGTAGTTTTTCCCACTTTAACATTTTTATTATTCTTATGATTTTTTATTGTTCATATGATTTTTGTCGAAGCATTTTAATTAAAATATTTTAAATTATCTAGTAGTGCAAAAATAAGCATAAAAATTATTAAAATAAAAAATAGCACTTTTATAAAAAGTTAATGTCATTCGAATAATTATGAACGGTAGTGTATGTAGATATTTTGAGGAAAAGATGTTTACCTAATAATTGTTTTTGGACATCATTCCAAACCTAATACAGTTTTTAATAATAAATAAAACAAGATTAATCATCAAGACACTTAAAATGTTTCTTATTGTAACTTGGTATTTGCTTGCACTCATTTTTAAAAAATAATTGCATTTGTTGCTCACTGTTATTTGTTGTATAATCATACTTTAGCTCAACTTACAATTGTCTATTGTTAATAGGTTGCTATGCACCTAGTTTATTTTTATTTTGCTTTGTAACTAGGCTCGTTTCTATGCTCCAAGTACTATTTTTATTGATGAAATAGACTCACTATGCAGTCAGAGAGGTAGTTCAAGTGAACATGAAGCAAGTAGACGAGTCAAGTCTGAGCTTCTTATACAAATGGATGGTTAGTATTTTTAATGTCTTTTATTTTTAATCTATTTTTAGGTGATGAAAACCAAATGAAAATATGTATTTTTGTTTAGGTGTGTCTGGCAATACATCAGAAACTGATGCAACAAAAATTGTAATGGTGCTAGCTGCAACAAATTTTCCTTGGGATATTGATGAAGCTCTACGTAGAAGACTTGAAAAACGAATATATATTCCTTTGCCATCAGGTAAGACTTTAATTTATTAATTTTGTTGAAGATTTTTGAAAAGTTTTTTTTGTCCTGTGAATATGATGTAGGTAATGCAAAGGTTTTGATAATATTTTTATTTTTATATATTAGCCTTGTTTTTATGTATTTTTAAATATTTAATTCTTATCCAACAATAGAAAACATTTTTTAATAGAATAATAACTTTGATAGAACAATTCTAATAAAAGAATTTAATAAAACAATGTTTATACTTTTTTTTTTGTTTATCTTTGGTATGATTAAGAAATTTTATTGCTTTCTCAATCTAGCCATCCAATATTTAAATTTCAAAAATCTTTTGGTAATTATCTACGCCATGCAATATTTTTACTAAAATGGCATAGAACTAATGGTAATTATCTACGTCATGTAATATTTTTACTAAAATGGCATAAAACTGATGGTAATTATATAGCCATCTAATTTTTTTGCTAAAATGGCATAAAAATGTTGGTTATCTTTTTTAAATCACTAGAACTTGTAGAACAGATTTTGACAACTATTCATAAATTTACATGTTAGTGTAAATTTATGAATAATAACTTATTTAACTGTTCATAAATTCACTTTAGCAAATTTATGAATAGTTATTAAAATTTTATTAAGTCTCTTCACATTTGCAACAGTTTTGCTGCTGAATATGAATGTAAGAGTATGCACAACTTAAGCATTTAAAAACAGCACAATTATTTCAAGATTACACAGCATCTTGAAATCATTACAAAAATGCATGTTGTAGTGTTAATATGGGAAAGACATAGAGTGCATAAAGTAGCTGAGGTCCTAAGCATCTCAAAATTTTACACAAAGAATTTAGGATGTTTTGCAACATTAGCTGTCAGTTGATCAAAAACCTGTTTAAATATTTGTTTCTCAGAATCATTTCAAGCAAAATAGAATGGCTTTTTAAGCATTGTAACATCACCCTTTATGAAATATGGGTTTACCACAATAATAAAAGAATGTTTAGAACTATGTATTGAAACCAGTGGAAGCAGACCAGTGAAAGTAAAGACTATTTCATTAGCTGGTTAGGTATGTCATTAGTTTTGATTACTAAGGAATATTGTTTATCAATATTCTTCATAAAAACAATCTAGACTGACTCAATTGAATAAAAAAGTTCTTTATCCAACTTATTTACCAGATTCAGCTTACCAGTGACTCGTGTATTTCCAAAATTAAAGAAATTTTTTATGGGAAAGCATTTTATGTTAAATAAAAAAACTATTGAATTCATAGATAAGTATTTTGCCGAATAAAAGAAACTGTTTTTATTAGAAAAAGTTGTATTTAAGTTGAAGGAGGTTAAAATTAAACTATTTTTTATTTTTTATGGAAACAACTGTTTTTATAATACTTTAATTCTTGTAACTTAACAATTTAGTCACAACATTTATAAAATAACAATTTAACCACAATATTTGTAACTTAGCAATTTAGGCACAACATTTGTAACTTAGCAATTTAACCACAACATTTGTAACTTAGCAATTTAACCACAACATTTGTAGCTTAGCAATTTAATCGCAACATTTGTAACTTAGCAATTTAGGCAAAAATAACAATTTAAGCATAACATTTGTAAAATAACAATTTAACCCCAACATTTCTAAAAAATTAAACAAAAAAAACTTTAGTATTTATTAAATATAACCTGTAAAATGTTAATTGCTTTAAAGGGGTAAAATGAGTTTTTCTAACCAAAGAAAACCAGTTAATTTGTAACTAATATGAAAAACAAAATTGCAAACAATATAAATTATTTGCTACATATTGTATTCAGATTTTTTTAACTTTTTATTTGTAAGCTGTTGGTCGAGAAGAATTGCTTAGAATTAATTTAAGAGAAGTAAAATGTGCAAGCGATGTGGATTTAGTAAAACTTGCTGAAAAGATGGAAGGTTACAGTGGTTCAGATATTACTAATGTTTGCAGGTTAGTTTATTGTTTTATACCAAAAGTTAATTGTGTACTGTTTTAATGACTAGGCTACCTGTGGCTAGGTGTTGGATCGGGAAGGTGGAGGGCAATAGGTAACAATTCTAAATTGGCATACCATGTATAAAAAGTATTTTTTTATACTAAAATTTAACTGTTTTCTAGTGATTTATTTTTACTTAAAAGCAATTCAAATCAACTAAATAAATGTTTGCTTGTCTAAAATTTGTTATATTGAGTAAAATAGGGTAGAATAAAGTAAAGGATATAATGAAATAGTTAAACTCTTTAAATTTTTGTTTTAAGCACCATCATCTCAATCTGAGTCTTTATTATCTTAACCTCCAGAATCTATGTGAATACCACCACCACCATCAGTAATAATACCATCTCAGTCAATGTCTTCTGAATCTTTACTAACAACATCTAACATCAACTCTGATGTAAACTCTAAAGTAAATTTACTTCATCAACCTTCAATTCATATACAATCAACCTTCAATTCACATACAATCAACCTTCAATTCACATGTAATCAACCTTTAATTCACATGTAATCAACCTTCAATTCACATGCAATCAACCTTCAATTCACATGCAATCAACCTTCAATATTCTAGTAACACTGACTATTTAAAAAAAAATTCTATAAGAAATTAAAATATTGCAATAGCCCAATTGCTTACCACAGCTTGGTAATAAATATTTTGCGTCTGACACATTAAAAAAAAAATGTAGAAGGTTCTAAGGTGAGTGTCTCAATAAACTTGAAATACTCCAAAGATTTTAAAATGTTAACAACATAAGCTTAACTTTGACAATAAACAACATAAGCTTAACTTTGACAATAAACAACATAAGCTTAATTTTGACAATAAGCAACATAAGCTTAACTTTGACAATAAACAACATAAGTTTAACTTTGACAATAAACAACATAAGTTTAACTTTGACAATAAACAACATAAGCTTAACTTTGACAATAAGCAACATAAGCTTAACTTTGACAATAAACAACATAAGCTTAACTTTGACAATAAACAACATAAGCTTAACTTTAACAATAAACAACATAAGCTTAACTTTGACAATAAGCAACATAAGCTTAACTTTGACAATAAACAACATAAGCTTAACTTTGACAATAAACAACATAAGCTTAACTTTGACAATAAACAACATAAGTTTAACTTTGACAATAAACAACATAAGCTTAACTATGATAATAAACAACATAAGCTTAACTTTGATAATAAACAACATAAGCTTAACTTTGATAATAAACAACATAAGCTTAACTTTGATAATAAACAGCAAATAAATCAAGCAAAAACAGAGAATCCAACAGCAGCAGCAGCAAACCATGTCAAATATAAAAAGTTTAGTTTTAGGCAAAGATTCAATAAGTCAAAGTAATGAATGATATCACTGTAGAAATTCAAAATCCAAAGTTTGGCTAAGTCAAACATGCATACCGAAGCATACTAATATGTAAAAAGCTTTGAGTGTTAATGCATTTAACCTCTAAAACTTCTCAACTACTCAACATTTTTATGAGATTTTTTTATCAATTGTTTGTTTTTTTAATCTTTATCATTGGTTGCTATTGATTAAAATTCTTTACTATTTTATTTGATCCCATTTTACTATATTATCTATGCTACTATTATATTTTTTTAATTTAACCCTATAACAATCCCTACTGTAATATTATCAAGTCTTCTAATACGCTTTGTATAACCACGCATACATTTTTTTGTTTGTTTGACAACTTGGCCACATTTTGCTTATTTTAATAATGTTCGCGTTTAAAAAATGCGATGAAAAAACCAAACTAATTTAAAGAGAAAATAAAAATAAACAAACCATAAACTGAAAAGAGAAGTAAACTTAACAAATGATAAAATAAAGGATAAACCAGAGAAAATAAAAACAAAAATATTTTTTAACGTAGAAGCATCTCAATAGTTCAAACCTAATTAATTTTCATTTTAGTCTCAATTATTACTTTAAACGTTTGATTTTTTCTAGATTACTATGGTAGTGTAGCGCTTAAGTCGATTTATTGTTACATTTATTGTTGCGCGACTTCGGCGTTGGATGAGGGTTCAAGTTTTCTTAGCTTTCTTAATTTTTTAAAATCTTTTATTTGCTTAATAGACATCAGAAACTATCAAAGCTTCAAATTTTTTAATAATTAACTTTCGAAGTAACTAAGCTTGGATTAAATAACTTTGAAACTTCGATCTTTTCCAAATTTTATGAAATGAAACTCTTTTAAATTAAAATAAAGGCATGAATTTTATGCTTTTATTTTTTCTGGTTTATTTTTTGTTTTATCATTCGTTAAGTTTTTTATTTTTTAGTTTAGTTTTGTGTTGTTTTTTTTAGTTTTTGTTTCTCTTTTCAGTTTATGGTTTGTTTATTTTAATTTTAGTTTATGTTTACATTTGTGGATTACAAAAGGAATTATAAAATCTATTCAAGTGCGCAATCTTTTCCAAAAAAAAATTTAAGATCTAAAGATCTTATTAGTAAAAAAAGCCATTTTAAAAAATTTTTCAAAATTTTTTAAAATGGCTTTTTTTACTAAGTTTAATTAATGTAACTATTAGAGTTTAGAGATTAGAGTTTCAAAATATTTTTGAAACGTCGCTCTTTTATAATTTTTTTTTGAAAAAAAGCGACATTTTTTGTATTAGTAACAACGTACTAATAATGATTGTTTAATAAAGAAACAAATGTTCTTCAATTTATCAAAGATTATATATAGTTTTTATTTATATACTTATGTTTTATTTCCAGTGCTGGAAATAAGAATTGGGGGGGTAGAAGAGCTGTAGTCCCGGGACACACAATGTTATGGGCCGAGAAATAGTTAAGAGGACCTATCGGTATTTTTAAGTCATTTTTACGCTGTCACACATAAAAAAGGCCACCAAAATAATGCAGCCCCCGGCCCTGTAAAGTCCAACAAAATTAAACCAATAAAACTAACGCTACATAATTTAATTATAAATAAAAAAAGTTTTTTCAGTACCTGTTTTATGCTTCGCGTAGTTTGAAAAGTTTAACATATTTGAAACAATTCTTCTTAGTAAGATGAACAAATGAAATAACTAAATCATTGAGTTACTGTGGAAATTTAATTAGCTAGATAGAAATTAACTAAAAACGTTAAATTACTTTGTAAGGAGGAAGCGGAACTGCTTAACAATATCGCTGATGATGTTTAGTGAGTGGGCTTTATATCTTTAACTAGTATTTTACAGAAAAAAAAACTTTGAGTGTAAGTATAACAAGTTTGTAAGAATGGCTGAAGCAAAAATAATTGAAGTTAATAGACCAATTTCTAATACATTACATACATATAAATACATCCCTTATATATAAAAAATAAGATAATACTAATTAAATCTATAATATATTTACAAAACGTTGACAAGTTAAAAAATATAAATTTAAAACATTTATTTTTGTAAACAAATGTTAGTTTAAAACATTTATAGCTTTATGGATGTGACTCCGAGAATGAGCCATTGTATTTAAATAATTGTTCATTTGATAGTATATTCTTAAAACAATTGATGCTAGAATTCTCAACGAAAAAATAACAAAAACAAAAACAAAACAAAAAAGATTTTGAAAAATAATTCAACAGAATACTCTAGAACAGTCGCAAAGTAATTTCAGTTATTTATTAATTGAACTAATAGAATTAGTTGTTCGTAAATTTGGCGGGTTTTTTGTGTTCGCGAATATTCTTTATTTATTTTTCTGCACTAAGACGTTTGACAACATTCAAGTTTATATAAGTTTCCATGTATGTCCGTAAAAAAAAATCTTATAAATTTACAATAAAATGAACTTATTATTTTGCGGACAAACAAGGAAACATACATAAACTGAAATGTTCTCAAAACGCCTTTTCGCAAGTAAATATAATTTCCGTAGTCAATTATCGAGTGCGATCGCACCCGCTTCCCGACCAAGCCTGCGTTGACCATAGTATTTTGATTTCTAAATTAAAACATTATGGAATTTGCGGTATTGTAAATGACTGGTTTCGATCTTCTCTTTCAGATCGAAAACAATTTGTAAGTGTTAATGGTTTCAATTCTAGTTATAAATCAGCTCCTCAAGATTCTGTTCTCTTTTGTTTTTAATTTATGTTAATGACCTAATCAACTCTGTTCACTTCTCTTCAGTCCATCTGTTTGCTGATGATAGAAATCTCTTGCACATAAACAAATCATATCATTCTTTATGTAAAAATGTTAATTCGGATATAAAAGGTATAGTTCACTGATTAAATGCTTACCTAATTTGTCTCAACACCAAAAAAACTGAACTAATTTTTTTTTGACTTCCAAGAAAAAACAATTTCTTTAAAAATGTTGAAGTCAAAATCAAAATTAATAATAAACGGCTATATCCTTCAAGAGTTATTAAATATCTTGGTGTATTAATTGATTGTAATCTTTCATGGAACTTTCATATTGATGAAACTAAGCAAGAATCTCGAGCTAATACTATGCTTTCAATAATTTGTCATTATGTCAATAAAGTTACACTTTATTGACATAATGAATGTCAAGTTGGAAACTATTGCATTAACAAGTTGCTATCGTCTCAGCATCAATCCATCAGATTAATAAACTTCCAACCAATTAAATCAGATACATTAAAGTCCTTCAAAAAACTTTCATTCCAATATTTCCAGCACTAGTAAAGTATGCTAATCTTTTTGTTTTTGACTCCTTAAATAAAAATATATCAGCTCCTACCACAAACTTGTTCACAGAAAGTAGACTATTACATTCCTACTCGACTAGAAATATACACAATGGAAAACTAAAAGTACCATATTTTAAAACCCAGAAGTATGGTAAATGTTCTATTTTATATGTGTCTGTGAATGGAACAGGAGCCTTGCATGCATTTTGAATGAGTCCAAAAAATATATCCTAAAATACCTTTAAATAAATATCAAATAC